TGTCAACTGACAACATGTAAAATTTGCAAGTATGTTAAAACTTTTCTGTACGTAAACCTCACAATTTATTTAGGCTGTAAGCAGCTGATGAGAAGCCGACGAAATAAATGATGGTACCATATTATTCTGCACAAACTACTGTTGTTCTTGCTTCGTTTAAGTTTCTTGTTGCTTATTCTTTTTCCACAGTCGACCGGTCATTTGATCTTCAATATGGAGCCAGCGAAGGTAGCTGTTGATTAAAGTCTGCAACTGACTGTTGGAAATCCTTTTCGTGACATGCAGTGCAAGTTTCTTATTCGTATAGAAGAACCAACTTCACATTGGTGTTGAAAATCCGAATCTTGTTCCTTATGCTGAGTGTGGAAGATTTCCAAACTGGTTTCAGGTTGATGAAGGCGTATCTTGCTTTTCCCATTCTGACTGACATCTTCGTCCGCTCCGGCTGCCTGTAGTTGCAACGATGCTTCCTGGTCAGATAAGTGAAGGAGGCAACCTCTGTTAAAGCTATCTGGTTGATGGTGATTGGTGCTGGTTGTTGTTGCTGTTGCTGTTCGTTGGTTGGTTATCTTCATCACCTCCGTCTTTTCTGTGTTCACCAGCAGTCCTGTTTTCGCTGACTCTTCAGCCAGTTTGTCGGTATTCGCCTTTAGATATTCGAGTTTGTGTGACATTAAACATAAATCATCTTCGAAATCCAGATCTTCGAGAGTTTTCCTATCGGTGGTCCAGCTTATTCTTGACTCCTCGCTCTCAACGCACAGTCTGACACACAATCCAGTCCACCACAGTTAAGAATATCACCGGTGATAATAAGCAACAGTCTTGTCTTACTCCTGTATGCATTTCGAACGATTCACTGTGTTTCCCGTTGTGGATCACTTGACGCGTGGCAGCTGTTGAATGAGGTTGACAAAGACTTGCGGTACGACGTAGTGTTGAAGTAGTTTCCAAATTACTTCTCGGTCCACGCTGTCTGTCGAAAGCCATTTCAAATTCGACGAAATTGACTGACGTAGACTTTTATCGACAGATACCTTTCACTAGCTCCATACTGGAGGACAGATGGCCGACTAGAAACAATTGGCGGCGACAAGCAAGCCTGACAACATTAACCATCAAGAACACCTATATAAAAGTATGCAAGAAGAAAAAGGAGATGGATCGAACACACACACACACACACACTGAGGAGACCGTTGAGAGAGACATTCTGTATTAGGCAAACAGTCAAGTGGAACCAGAATGCGAAACAACGAGTTAGGTATCAATTCGTGGGTGAAATGGAGAAGATCGTGTGAGGAGGAGGAGATGAGAGCTTATGGACAGTTGAGCAGCCGGTTAAAGGCAGAGAACACGATGAATCCAATGGAATAATAATGATAATAATAAAATAGTTATGATTAACAGCTAGATGGACAGAACACTAATCAAGCAATACAGTTCTTTACAAACACTGGTAGTATTTCCCGCATACTTTATAATCATAGTTTTTAACTAGTTCTTTTAGATAATTTGTCTGAATACATATCTTACTCTTCCCAGAGTATCTTCTCCATAGATAAGGAGTATCGCAATAAAGCGTGTTGATTGCTTCATTTATTTAGGAATTCTTGTTACCTCTAACAGATTCGTTGCCGAAGAAGTCTCAGTACAACCATGTGGCATTTTTTAATGTATGCAATCTGTGGCGTACACGTGATATGCCCCTATGGATTGAAAGACGTGTGTACCGCGCAACAGTTTGCTCTGTTCTCTATTTATGGTTATGAAACATGGCCACTGAAAGTGGGAGGTATGAAAAAGTCAGTTGTCTTTGATTACAGATGTTCACGTTCTATCTGCCGTGTTAAGTCGTATAATATGTTGAGTAATATCGATGTTAGGTGTAGAGTGTTAGGTAAGGAGGGTAGGTCAATCGATTAGGTTGTGAAGTTACATCGACTAAGATGGTTGGGACACGTGTTACGCATGCCGAACCACAACCTTCCTCAATGGTCATATGGTGGAGTTGAAAAACAGTTAGGAGCGGTCAAACCCAAACTTGTCATCAGTCTGTGAAATCTCTGACAGTTTGTTCAAGGTACATAGAGAGTTGTAGACTGACCAGTTGAGGTCGCTGGGATCCTAAGGATCAATGGCTTGAAACTGTTGGTGATATGTCTCGAAATAGCGCATAAGCATTTACTCTTAGTGACTTTCCATATCCACTATTTATTTTATTTTATTATAGCTTGATTCCACACAGTATTTTGGTACAAGTATGAAATTTTCAGCATGTGATATCGGGACCCCGAATTTAGCAGGCCGACCATAGATATCAGGTGTCCGTCGGTGGGGGATCGAACCTCGGACCATGTGCATGGTCGTCGAGAGTTCTAACCGTTGTGCCACACTAATTCATTATGTTTTTCCACGATATGATACGACACTTTTCTCTACTTTTGTGTGCTGCAGGCGATATGGTAACTTGAACTGCTTTACTTCTGTACACAATTCGATACTGAAACTCAGTTAGTCAGCCAGTCAAGAAGAATGATATTAACAACAGGGAAACTAGCATAACTGATTACTACTTAATTTCTAACAACACATAGAGAAGAATGAAGAATGTTATAGAGACTAATACCACAAACTACTAGATCTGGAAAAGACCAATACCATTATTGGAGATATCCCTCAGTTACAGAAAACGCTATATAGAAGTCATAAACAGGGTAGAATGATAACACTCTTTGAGCATGGAAAATAAATGCGGATATTTTAGCAACAAGAGTCCTAGGTTGGAATGCTGAATGTACCAATGCTGAATATTGCAGCTGAAAAAAACAAATAGTGTACAAATATGACTTTTGCGTAAGTCTACTGGCAGCAATAAAAGTGCGATTAAAAACAACTATCATTCCATATTGATGTAGTACTCATGAAAGTTTATACCCCTAATTTATTAAAAGACATTCTTTCACTATCTACGCAGCTAGACATTAGGCATACTAGAAATAACTGAAATCTTTTGACCAAAAATAGTTTCATTATTAAAAAAAAGTATATCCACCTTATATTCTAACTTGAAAGCGCATAATTAACCGTTTACCGAATTACGAAAGACGTTGAAAAAGCCGTAGTATTCAAGAATCAATAGTCTTTGATTGGACACTAGCTAGTAACTAGTGTAATGTGTCTAGTCATTGATTTGGTGCAGACTGAATTTTATCAGTCAAGTTTGCAATTTGGCCACCATTCAAACAAGGGCTTGCCATTATGGCGCACCTTGAATTGTTGATATGGTTAGATGGTTGGACGCAATCGGCAGGAAACCTTGGACCTAGGTCAGCCGCGAGCCGGAATAGCTCAGTGGTAATGTCTCTAAGTGCAGTACCGCGTGACGCGGGTTCGAATCTCTTCAGAAGGGACATGAGTTCCTTCAAGGTTGCACATACGCCTTACTGACGAGTGCCAACTACCACCAAGGCTTCCTGCCGATTGATTCCAACTAACTAATATCAATCAACAGTCTACTGAGTGTACATTTTTCTTCAAATTTACGACTTCACTAAACAATCAAGTAGTTCCGCGGTTGTAGCATTTTACTTTGTCACACACCTCAACAGTATGAGATATGCTTGTTTCATCAGACAAGTAAGCCAAGAACTAGAAATTAATGGTAATGTGTAAATACTTAAAACAAAATATATATCACACCTTATCATCTGAAACGTCTGCTTAAGATAGCTTTACGAGATAAAAATACTAAAATATCCCCGAAATAGTGAAATATTTTATTAGAATGGGATCCATCGGACGAAGTTACTGGATAAAAAGAAACCCCACGTCATATACGGAAGATTTTTATTAACTTATTATTACTATCTTCTAATTCTATAAGGTCAATTAAAATGAAAACAAAAAACACAAAAAGTTCCTAACCAGTGATGTGTGACCTGTAGTTTCAGAGATGTTTAAAACCAACAGTTCAAAAGTTTTACTAACAGAGATGTTTTCAAACGACGTTATTTAAGTTCCAGACAATTTCAATGACATGCACTTAACTGCTCTCTCCCATCATACACTTTTTAATCTAATTTAGCAGCGTTTTCTCTACATTTACTTCCTCTCCATGAGCTGATTGGGTGTTTATGAAATGGGACATGAGTAAAGGTCTTTAGGTTAATCCATCGGTCGCTGAAACTTGTTCTGCATGGTAAAGGAAACACTGGACCAAAATATAAGGGTAAACACTGAGCACCAATTACTTTACATTCTCAGGAGTTAGGTTGAACGGATTTGCTTTGTTCAAAGTTTCACCACAGGTTGATATCAGTTAAAGAACCACTGGGAACCAACCAGAGAGTATCTAACAGCTGCCTGTTTCTTCCTAGTTTGGGACTCACCAACAGCGCGCACCACCCAACGAGGGTTCAAACCCATGACCTTACGGTTGCAAGGCAAGATCATAGACCATTGAGCTTCTGGATCCGTTTCAATGGCCTGTGAATTCTAACTCCTACTAATTCGTGATTTTAACACAACCACCAGCCAATGTCCCCGGCATGTATTTATCCTCACTCCCGACTGGATGGACACCACTGGTCATAACGTCTCACCACAACTCCAGACAACTTCGTATAGTAGCTAGTCAGCAGCAAGCATCAGCTTGCCTTCTCTGAAGGAACCTCAGTGGTTGTGTACTGCCCACTAGTCCTGAACTAGGACGAAACAGCTTCCCTATACCCCTTGGTTTTTATTGGTTCGCTAACTCATATTTAGCATTTAATAGCCGCCTTTCTTGGACTTATTAACTCTATGTATATGTATGGATTGTCCTACCTTTGCACTGAAACCGAAGCTTTGACCGAAAGTGTATGTATGGAGCCCGAAGTCAATGTTAGCTTGGCATATCGACTACATGTAGCCCACATGCATGCCGACGCATGCAGTCGAGGATATAAATCACAATAGAGGTGGGCAAAAAATTCAGCGATCAGAAAAGGTAGACTCACATCAATTTGTTTTAATCCATAAAAACCAGAGAATAATTTTGATGCCGAAAATTCGAGATGCAACGTGCGAAGCCACTAAAGCCGCCAAGTGTAACACAATATTTAAATGTGGCGCAGTTTGGTAACCAGAACGAACACTTCAATAATCAGTTATACAAACCTTGATTCAGAGAAATAAAAACTAAGTGATTTATGCAAGCCAGAAATTACAAATGACGTGTTATTTTCGGTGAAACTCGGCGAAGCCATCCTAATTACTTGTTTGACCAACACCTCTCGAATAAAAGCTTCCGAGAAATTTTGGAGAAATGCATTATTGTTCCCCAAAGAACTTCCAAACTCCAAAAATCTCAAAATTCTCTCCAGGGCCTCAAACATTTTACTTGGGCTGGAAGGTGTTAAAAGCAGTTACATATTCAATGAGCTTCGGAGAAAGACCTGCTAAATACTATGTTTGAATATATACACAAATTTCTTTACTAAGTTTTTAATATCTCTAGTGTTTGCGAATTACTAATACTGACAACTAATCAATAAAGGCATATAAAGGTAGCGAGTTAAGTAACTTGCCATAATAGGGAAGAATATATATTAAACAAGGTCAGTGTCAGAGGATATAGCATGGAAACTCGGAGAAGAGTAAAGTGGTTAATTTAGATGCGAAATAGATACAGGAACGTGAAATGATGGTCCTAATTGTCCCCTAGTAAAATGAATGCTGCTAGCCAATTATCGTTACTACTCTTCATTTCTAATTACTGATGGACAGACTTAGAGGTTGAACTATCCAACTGCCGGAATTCCAACATTTAAGAAATTTCCTCGCAAGTCGCATTTTCATTATCCATTGAGAGTTATACTGCCTTAAGCCTGTCGCATGGAACTCATAGAGCAGACAAAGATAATTTGACCTATCAGACTGCTCCCCAATTCGGAAGCAGTGATTTCGACCGGAAGAAGCTCACACTTAAAGATGCCTTATTGCCTAGGAACTCTTGTTAAACGACACGGAGATTCCTCCATGAATACTTCTATTTTCATGACCCTTTGCAGTGAAAACTAGGAAAGAAACCACTGTGTATTCCCTGCGAATATTTCTCAAAGATAAAAGTGATGCTCTAGGACACAAAGCAACATGGAAGGATGGATTAATCACTTTTAACTATTCCTGGATACTGCTAGATTAGGAAGGACTAGCATTTAAGATCAGGATGGCACTTTACCGGTTGAAGACAATAGACTTGTTGGGGAATATTTATTTGGATTTCAGTATCTCTACATAGCGAAATTATGTACACCTTGTCTGAAAATCGTCATTTGCACAGACCTTCTGTGTCATGCCCTCCACTTCTGTCCCCCTCATATTGTGTTTCTTTGTCTTCTTTGCGTGTTTCCTATGTTATGCCGTGACGCTGGTTCATTCGTTGTCTTTTACGTCAAATCTATCTCTCCCCTGTTTGATATTTTCATCCTAAAAAGCGTCTCTTTATATTCTACTGGTTAATCTTATCACTGCCCTGCACCACACTGCTTCTTTTCATTGACAGTTAGTGTTCGCTGCTGACGTTTTGATTAAATGAAGTGTCAAACTTCCTGTTCTCATAGTTCCTCACACTTATCTAAAGACGGGAGCACACTGATGGTATGAAGTTTGTCTCTATGGGATGCAAAACACCCACAAAAATTCTTTTTATAAAAAATATTTAAAAGTCCTACTGTTTGTGTGTATGTATAATAACCTTAAAAGTTTAAGAGCTGAAGCTACAGATATATAGGACACTAGATTTCAGTTTGCCCAATGGAATCACAGTTATAACAAAGACCCCAATTTCACCTGTTGAGAGTGACAGGTAGTTACGCTTTACTTTTCACAAGAAGACAGACTATTGGCTACACATTCATGTGCTTCGACATCATTACCAATCGCCTATTTAGAGCTTCACAATTGTAATACATCGGCCATCCTTGCTGATAGGGAGTTACGGGGATAGCGAACTCTGGGCGTGTGGAAACGGGAACACAACCAGAGTCAGTGGCTTCTGCGGAGTCATCATTCTTGACTTTTCATAACAAGTCAAAAAATGAAAAACGGCAGGGTGCCTATTTATGTGTGATTCTGTTCACTTGTTTTCCTTTACGCTGCTGAAAAGGTCACTCTCAAGCCGTCAGCAGATAAGTGTGAGAGGGCTTGATTTTCGCGGCTTCCCCTGATATGTTTTGCTACTCTGGCCCACAGTTTCTCTTATTGCCTTTGTCTGAAAATTTTCCTGCATGTTATCGTCTATATTAATCACTGTCAAATCAGTGAAACTACGCGCCTCCAACTGCTTTCATACGTCGGTCTTCTACGGACTAGGAGAATTTTTAGTCGTCAGTGCAACTTAACGCCTAAGTGTGAATTATGCAATAGAACATGCTGTACCCACATCACCCAAAGAGTTCTCACTTCTATCTATTATTTCCGTTATAATGAGATGTAGACTGCTCTCTGACTCCCAGTAGGACGCTTTATTGCCACAGAGAGACCAAGTTAGTCTCTGTGTCTTTGAGGCACCCAGTAGTGTCACTGCACTTTTAAGTGTCGAAAACTTTTTATTAACCCTTGCCCAGTTTTTCAAAATTTCTTGCTTCTGCTTGATACACTAGCTTAAATACAGGACTTTTATTGGGATGTATATTCCGCCCGCCCAATTCTGATACTAACACAACGAATCATTTATGTGAAATTTTCGAACACGTCTCCTCTCTAAATTTTGACTATAAAATTATAGATGCCAATTTTAACATGCCTGGTATCCAGTGGAATACCCTAAATGTTCCTACATACCCTGATCGCTTTGTAAGTTAGGTTGAATTCTATGGATGGATACAAAATTGTAATCACCCGACACGTAAGTCAAACATCCTGGACCTTATCTTCACACACAACATTCTCCCCGGCAGCAGTCGAGTTGGGCCTTTATTCCCTGGTAGCGACCAAAACACGGTCATTTCCACCTTTAACCTAGCGGCATATGGGTCAGACAAATGCCGTCACCAGACAGTAAAAGTCAGAGACTTTTCAAAGGCTAAGTGGGAAACAACGCTATTCTTTATTCGTTGCCAAGACGGGGATACCTTTTTCTCCTCGGCAGAAAGTGATACCGTTATTGGTAGTTTCTACTCCAATATATCAGTTTGCTTCAATGAATCTATCCCTTGGTATATATCGAAACGGAACTGTGCAAATCAACTATATATACCGAATGCTACCAGGAACAAGCTAAGAAGACTCCGTAAAACCTATAATAAATATATGGACTTCTCCTCGCTCATTAGCATCCTAAAGGTACACAACAAAATCAGATCAGACAATGCCAGTAAAGTTTACACAGAAGAACTTGTCGCCCTTAAAAGCAACTGCAAAATTAGCTCTCTTTGCAAACTCTTCCAAAAAAGTCGAAAACAAAACAAGGTAACATTTCTTACATTCTTCATAATAATGTTGCTGTTAAGGATGATGCAGGCATAGTTGAACTCTTCAACAAGCACTTTTCTGACTCATACACGCACGACATTTCTGCATGCATTGAATTTGACTCTGTAACAGGCAAAACACTGTCAAATATATATATAAACCATATATATACGATTGTACAGCTTGATGATAAATTCGTTGAGAAGAGTCTCTTCGCTGAATCATTTATTTTGATTTTCTATATGTTACGATGGGAATTTTCCATGATCTAAAAAATATATGCTTGACTGTTGATGTTATAAAAATGCAGTGCGTTCATTGAAATTCTTCAGTACTCCTGGACCTGACGCAATTCCCTCATCCTCTTTAAAAAATGGTGTCTCCGATCTCCCTCTTCTTCTGCTTAAAATATTCTCAACTTCCCTTTTGAACGGAGTTTATCCTTCCAAATGGAAGCAGACATATATCATCCCTAGATTAAAGTCAGGCTCAAAATATGATGTAAAGAATTACAGGCTGACCAACAAAACATCTGTCTTGTAAAGGATACTTGAGAAGATAATCAGTACAGAAATCACTGACTTCTTATTGACTGAAAACCTCATAACACCTCAGCATGGTTTTATAAGGTCCAGGTCAAGTGTGACTTGCCACCTGGAACTATTTTATTTTATAACTGGACTTACAGACCAAAAATTCGTTGTGCTCATTATGTATATTGATCTTGAGAAGGCATTCGATAAAGTATGTCATAGTTCAGTCCTGAAAAAACTTAAGGCTTACTGTATATCTGGCAATCTCTTACAGTGGTGTAATTCATTTGTGTGTGGTCGGTCCCAGTATATTAGGATTAACGACATTTTCTCCAGTACCAGTCCTATATCACGTGGCGTAATTCAAGGTAGTGTACTAGGGCCTCTCTTCTTTCTTATATACCTTAATGACGTCTGTGATGTTATCAAGCATGGCAGACCCTTCTTATATGCCGATGACTTGAAGGTGGTCTACCACAGTACCACCCAAGAAGTGACAAATCTGTCTCATAAAATTCGATCGGATATTGATAATATTGAGATTGGTGTAAGTCCTGGATGGGGCATATCAACGTGGAGAAGTGTGTTCTGTTATGCTCAGCTCGCCTTCGTATCACACCATATACAACTATATACTTCAAGCAAATCACTATCTTTCCTTCCATACTTGGCCTCGGGCTCCGTTACTCTACTGATTTCAAATTATCTCTCTATGTTGCCAACCAAGTTTCTGAAGCCAGAAGATTACTCGGATTCATATTTGATAACTTTCAAACCCAAGAATCTTAAGTGCTACCTTATAAAACGCACGCACGACCCCTCCTTGAGTGCTACCCATTTATCCTAGGCAGCACCTCTGTTAACGATAAAATGTAGATTGAAAGTGTGCAAAGGAGATTTACAAGTAGAATCTTAGGAACAAGTCTGAAAGTTCCCTACAACTATCGTTGCACAACTCTTAAGATCGAACCCCTTTGGTTCAGGCGCCACCGACTTAACCTCATTCTCCTATTTGAAATTCTCGAAGGAATAGTATACTTTCCCAATAATAGCCTTGACTTGACTTCTTCGACGTATGAACTACGCAGTAGTGGGTCTTCTCTAAGTCATATTCTTTGTCG